TGCCCCAGTCTGCAACATGAGAACATCAATCCTTCCTGTCCTTCGGTTTCTTCCCAAATCCTTCCGAGAGTCCCCTGGGAATATCTCAACCAGAATTTCTTAAAAGGGAAGTCCTCTTCTCCATTTCCAGATCATTGTGGTAATATCAGCCATCACTCTCAGTTGGCAGCCACAGTGATGCCTGCGTAACTATGGGACCGTTGCTCCCATGGCCTTGCTCTCTCATCTCCACAGAGATCAGAGTGTAAGCCTTCCTATTAGGGTAGGCTGAGCTGTTGTAATTATAACATGCAACAAAAATGCAAAAGGAATATAAAAATGTATTTTTCCCTCAGGTAACAATCCAGCAAGGTGTTCCTTTCAGCAAGGAATTCTCCTCAGGCAACCACTTAAGAACTGGGGTTCTGCCCATCTTCAACATATAGTTCCCAAGGTTGCTCTGTTTCGTGTCCTCCCAGCCAGCAGGAAGCAGGGAACTAGCCTATGGGGAGATACAGCCTCTTCTCAAAAGCCTCAGCTCATATTCTGTTGATGAGGACAGGACACAGGTGGTTGAGAGGCTTGTCCCTGGCTGGGCCACCTCCCAGCCACAGCTCTGTTATTATTATGCCCTTTTATGGACAGCGTGCTATCACCTGTTTCTCTTCTGTTTCGCTGTCCTAGACCTTTCATGGTAGCCCCCGACACCCAGAGCAGCAGAGAGCATCCTCAGTCACGTAATCTGTTCCACCTCTACCCTAGGCAGTTCCCTTTCCCATCTGTTTAAACACCTTTTCTAAACCTTTAATGCCCCTCTGAAATCCTCCCATCCCCAGTCTTAGAAGATGGCTCGCCCTTCTGCTGCAGAGTAAAGGTAGAGGTCATCAGCTGTGACCACTTCAGCCATCTTCCCAACATGACCATTCTTTTCTTTTCTTCTGTCCCAGAGGAGGATGTTTCCCTGCTTCCTTCTTGAGCCCACTCTTCTTCCTAATCATATTCTTGCCTGTTTCATCTGGAGTCTGGTTCCATTAAGTATTTCTTTTGCTTTTCAACAATTTGAATATCAGTATCTCCCTGGTAAAATGTGCCATTCTTGAGGATGTAAACATGCTTTCATTCTGCCTCATGCTACTTTTCATTCTCTCCCTTCTTTTTTCTCTTTAAATCAGATCTCTTAAAATACTAGTTTATATTTACCCATCATGTCTTCACCTCCTATCTGCTGTCTAATCTTCTGCACTCCCAACAAAAAAGAGCACACTAAGCTATGTGCAGGCCCATATTCATTCAACAATTCACCATCGTATATTTACTGAGCACCTTCTGTGCCAGGCATAGTGAATTCAGCAGTGTACAAAATAAAGTTTTTTGCTCTCTTGGAGTTTACATTCTAGTAGGAAAAGGCGGGGTGAGGGGGAAGTAAATATTGTTAGATGTGTCTGTACTATAAGCCAGGATAAGGGAATTAGGAGGATATTGATATTTAAAGTAGAGTGGTCAGGAAAGGTATCTCTGATAATTATTGAAGCAGAGACCTGAAGCAAGTGAGAAAGCTCTTCATTATGGGAAGATTTCAGGCAAGGAAACAGCTTATCCTAAGACCCTGAGGCAGGAGCATATCCACACACAAAGGACCGTAAAAGGTCTGATGTGACTGGAGCAGAACAAGGGAAGGAGGAAGAGTGCCAGATGAGACCAGAGTGGCAGCCCATGCCAGAGCCATAGGGCCTCCTAGGCTGCGGTAAGGTTTCTGATGGGAGCCATCATCAGAGGGATTTGAACAGAGGAATGACATGAGATGGCTTGTGTTTTAAGGAGATAACTGACTGCTCTGTGCAGAATAGACCCAGCGATGCAGAATGAACAGCTATGGGAATAATCCAGACAGATTTTGGTCCTCTGGGCTGGAGAGGTACCTGTGGATGTGGTGAGAAGTGACTCCGTTCTTGATATGTTTCAAAGAGCTGACAGGCTGAGTAGTGCTGGAACCTTCTGTCCCTCCAGTGAGGCTCACCTCAACATTCCACATTTCTTCTCCTTCTTTATGGCCCAAGAGGCTGAGCCATACAGACTGCATCATCTCTGGCTTCCCTTTGGGTTTGGCCCTTGCGAGACTCCTGCAGAAGATGTAAAGACAGGAGGAACATGAGGTCAGAGTATTGTTCTCCTGACTTCCTGCCCCCAGTGGTTGGCTGTGACTACCTGAGGCTGCAGCCCTTCCCTACAGTCACCCTGTCGGGATTCCAGGAAATCTGCCCCACTCATCCCTCCTTTGTGCCTAAGGGCAATGCCAATCCCTGCCTTTGCCAGCTCAAGGATGTGCCACTATCCTTTACTGGTTTTCCTCAGCCTTGCCCACAACTTTGTAAGTTGCCCCTTTAGTCATCTGTCATTAACTTTGTATGATCTTGACTCATCTTGGAGCTAGAGCATCTAATAAACTTTTTTTTAAACAGTCATTTACTCATTTTTTCCCCAGTAGAATGTTAAATTCTTGAGGACAGAAGTTGTCATATTCCTGTTTCTGTTCCCCTGACATGAAGTAGGTTTTGCTACTTTTTTTTCAATGTGTTATAATGTAATGTTGTCACGTGAGTCCCTAAGAATTGCCTAAATAATGTTTGATGTGAAAGATTAAAAATAAGAGATGTGTGAGCGCGTGCGTATGTCTCTATCTTAGTGTTTATAAGCTCCACCTTGTTGGGCAATCCAATTTCCTGGGATCAAAAAGACTTAAGAAAAAGTTGGTTACAGCTTTCTTATTATTCGTTGTTTTAAACAATAGTCTGTTGATTTTACCAATTGTTTTTTGAACTGGAAAGAAATACTATTTGTTCACAGTTTTTCAAGAACATAAATTTTTACCAAAAAAGATGATGCCAGTAACCCTTTTTCCAGTAACTTAAAAGGTGGGTTGTGATTTATTAAAGTGTGTTAAGTGACTGACTTTTATTTAAATGATATTTTAATAGCACTAATTTCCATTATATTTGTTGCATACATTTATAAGATTATCAGTGTGACTGTTTTCCTACCAATTTTTTGTTTTAGTACTACATTTTATTATTGATGTTTTCTGCTGGTCTAAAGAATATTTCATCATCACATATTTATAATTGTACTTATATTTTAGTGACTTGCCATCTTCCTTCTTTCCTTCCTTCCTTCCTTCCTTCTTTCCTTCCTTCCTTTCATTAACCTTGATGTCTTTCTGTTCTTCCTTTGGGCAAACTCTTACAGTAGGCTGAGCAGCCTTGAGGTATAGTTTTAATAAAAGCTTTGCTGAGTAATCATTTGGTGTAAAATCCCAACCAAATCCATTAATGGAAAAAAGGAAGCAATATCTTTTCCACGTTAACTTTCTTTGTGGTTGCTCCCATGAATAACACACATGCGCACGCGCACACATTGAATTCATTTAACTATTGCCCAGATTCAACTATATTTGAGCTCCCTATTTCTAACAAGGAGCACAAAAATTCCATGAGATTAAGAGAGCATATTGTCAAAGAATGTATTCATTAAAAAATAATTTAAAACCATGGAGTCTTGCTTATATAAAATTGCAGCTAATTTCCCAGGAAAATGTCCAGGAATAATGCCCTATTGATTAGAGGGTTTGTTGTTTTTTAACTGAAAAAAAAAAAATCACACCCTTCTTTTTCTTTTTTCTCCTTTTATTTTTGACATTATTAAATATTCTCATAACCTAAGTAAATATGGTTTGCTTTTTAAGAGATAAACATTATATACAATATTTTAAAGCATTTGCTTACTTTGTGGGTTTTAAAATTAATTTGATAACTTTATTTGAAAACTGAATAAGCATTTGTACTGAAGCAAGGGTGTTTTTGAGATCTGTGGGATGTGTAGCAGCTCTGCTGTATTTGAGAACTAGACTTTCAGGGCATGTCCCCAGTAACTCTCCAGTCCCTTTCACCTTTACTCAAGTCTATTTACAGGCAAATTATGACTTTCCTTCAAGTATTATTTATTGTTATTTTTCATTTGAAAGATCACAATCAGAATGATGGCTATGAAATTGTGAAACAATGAAAAATAACAAGCATTGACTTAAATAATTTTACTTTTACTTTTTTTAAAAGTAAATAATTTTACTTTTCTCAAAGTTTCCTAAACTTTCTTTGAGAGAGACAAGTTAATTTAAGCTTCCACTTTCCCAGGAAAGGTGGTGATATCCTGTTCTCTGAGATCTCTGTGCTGAGTTCAGCAGAGGGAGAGAGAACTGAACAAAATTGGTTCGGAGACCATCATCTTTTGGCTGTGTCCTCACATGATAGACGGGGAGAGAGAGCTCACTGGGGGTCTGTTTAGAAGGACACTAATTCTTGGGATTAGGATTTTAATATATGAATTTTGAGGGGGATACAAACATTCAGTCTATTGCAATTTCCATTGTGGTAATGGAGTAGAAGAAACGGACGTATGAGAGGTGACAGGCTTATACGCAGGGGAAGAGGAAGATGATGCTAACCTTACACTTTCAAAGTGAATAACTAGCATTATGGATATGGGAAACCCAGGATTGTTCTTTAGTTTCTGAAAAGTATATATTTATGGAGAAAATAGTAAGGCAAAATTTTAAAAACTAATACAGATTAAATGTCATACTCTATTATACTATATTATTTATATAATAATTAAATAGCTGATAGCCTTCCAAAAAGAAGGATATAGATAAGAATAAGATCTTTTAGAGAACTTTCCTTTAGTTAAGAGAACTATATCCTATTTTTTTTCAATTCTTCCATTTAGATCCTTATATTACATTGTAACAGGCCCAGATATTTGTTATTCTTCGATTCTCGTATTCCAGGACTGTTGATGTAGTGGTGTGAAGAACTCAGACATGCAATTTGTTGAAAATTAAACCATCACCTTCTGCACTTGATCCAACATACTATATATTTAGAAACATGTGCATATAAATGATATACATAATTATTCAGTACAAATAATTTTACTCTGGAATTTCATAAGTATTTTATTATTTCCAGGTTCGATGGATGATGTACTGGATTGTCTTTGCTCTCTATACTGTGATTGAAACAGTAGCAGACCAAACAGTGGCTTGGTAAGTTCTAATATTGAGAAAAGACCAGATTATAGACTTGTTAAGGGGTATCCTGGGTTCTTATCTTGCTTTTTGTTGTTGACTAAGTAAATTTGATCAAGCTGCCTAATTATCCAATGTCTCGATTTTTAATCTGGTTTCCCCATAAGAACATTGCTTTCCTTCCAGTCCCTCTCAAATAAAGGCAGCTTATTCTCCTCCCCATGTGCCACTTTCTGCCCATCTCCCATACATCTTGTAGTCTCTTGGAATAGAGAAAGTGGTTGTCATCTTTTTTTTTACACTGATGACTTCAGGCTGTTTTTCTTTATCACTTCCTAAAAGTCTCCTCTTTTGACACCCACAGCATTTGGTTTTAGCACTCCCTCCCCCTCGTTAAAACTCTCATCTGCATTCAAACTGGATGACATCCACGAGGACACCCACTAACCACCAGCTCCTTGGCTGCTCTATTCCAAACCTCTGCGACAAAATTGAAGCATGTTTATACCCTCAAGAATTTAACATTTTACTGAGGAGCAAATACTTAGTGGGACACCTTGACTCTCCTTGCAATGTATTCAGTAATGCGTTTCCATCTAAACCTTGCTGTCACCTGGACAAGGCCTCGTTTCAGAATCTGTGCATTTACTACCTTGCCAGCATCTTCAGCTCCCCTTGCTTCACAAACCTTTGGCCTAAATAAGCCAAATTGCTCTTATTAACTTCTTTCCCAGGCTGCTAAGTGAGCTGAAAAAAATCAGTCAGTTGCCCATATAAGTATCAATTTGACCTCACCTTTCCTTTTCCTTGTTTTTGGTCCATTGCTACTTCCATTCCTTTTTATATCTGTTTCAGACATTTACTCCTCTCTCCTTAAACTGCCTTTCTGACTTTGCTATTCTCATCACATTCTCATGGCACATTAGGTCACATTGGATTGCTAGGGAAAAATAATGAAATCATCAGACTTAAATGTTCTTAGCATCTGCCCTGACTTATGAACTTCTCTGTAATGTATCTTCATCCATCTTTCTCTTCCTTTTTTTGCCCCAAAGCTCATTTATTTACCTGTTATGATTTTGAAATAGGGGTTTGGGAGAGGGTTTTCTGTTTGTTTTTAAAGGGCAGATTTCAAAACATGCTAGATCTCTTAAGTGTCGAAGTTCACTTTTTAAAGATTTCAGTTTTTTTGCTGATTGCAAATACAGCATACATTATTAAAACCTGAACAATGCAGGAAACATTTACCACAGTGAAAGTCCAGATATCCCTCTGTGATTGCACCATCACGGAGAACTTTTTTTGACTACACAGTCGTCAGTCATCATTCCTTGCTGCCTGATACCCATCTGCCTGTTCAAAAAAGTCCAGATTTTTCAGTTATCATGTATCTCAGTGCTTCTTTGACCACATGATGTTGATCGCCTCAGGCTGCGTTAGTTAACTTTTGCTATGGCAACCAACTACCCTAAGAGCAAAATAAGTTTGGAACACAAACATTTATTTTTTGCTCAAACTACATGAGGGCAAATGGTTGTTTCTGCTTGGTGGGCTTGACTATTTTAAGTGTCTTCTTTTGGGGACCAAGCCTGAGTGAGCATTTACTGGTACAGCAGAAAATAAATATTTAAATCGAGAGGGTGGAGGCATTGGGGTGAGAGAGTCAAAGGGCATTTAAAGCATGTGGTGTGCCATACTACATTATTTTCAAAAGCAGGCCACATGGTTAAACCCACAGTTATTGCTTGGGGAAGTGTACTCGGCCTACAGGGAAAACACTGCAAAGTCACATGGAAAAGGGCATGGGTTCGATCTAACCCTAATTCCCAGTCTGTACCGCAGTGGTAATTCCATTTCTTTTGTGAATGAACAATTTAGGTCTGCAAAGTACTGCAGTTCTGGCCAAATGAGATGAGGGGGGAAGTTTTCTGGGAGCGCTGAGAAAACTCCTGTACGGGGTGACACTGTGCACTTGAAGCATATCAATGTATGTCCTGGTAAATGAAGGCGCCTCAGGTACTGCCATGGCAGTGGGCCCTGCGGACGGAAGGGTGGACCTTACTGCCCTGGCTAATGCTGTCAGCGCCTTTTCTGAACTGCGCGCTCAGCTGGCAGCTCCCCAGGGCTCACTGAAACTGAAGAATCTTGACTAGAAGGTGTGAATCTCTGCATGGATCAGGTTGCTCTTGCGTTAACTGATCTATAATTAATGAAATTGAGTTGTTTGAACTTTTTAGTTTTTTGTTATTTGCTCTTTTGTCTGTAGTTTGTTTTCACAGGCTTTTTTTCTTTTTTTCAAATTTTTCTTGTTAGGTTCCCCCTGTACTATGAACTTAAGATTGCTTTTGTCATATGGCTACTTTCTCCTTATACCAAGGGAGCAAGTTTAATATATAGAAAATTGCTTCATCCACTTCTTTCTTCAAAGGAAAGGGTAAGATACATAAATTATTTTCACAAATCATTTGTTAGAAATGTATATCATCATACATATTTTGTGCTTTTTTGCTATAAAATTTGTGAAATGGTTATATTGGGGGGAAGTACTATTTTTTGGCTTCTGGGCACTATGCTTAAGTAAAATTAATATCTATGTGTTTGGGGTTTTTTATCTAGGAGATTGATGATTATATTGTACAAGCAAAGGAACGAGGCTATGAGACGATGGTAAACTTTGGGCGGCAAGGTTTAAACTTAGCAGCTACTGCTGCTGTTACTGCAGCAGTGAAGGTAATTTTTTATTTCATTTTTTATCCAATGGCACCTTAGGTCAACAGATAAAGTAGGATGGCTTTTTTGTCGGATCATTACAAAATGTTGGCAGAATTTTGCTTTCTGTATATTTTCGTAATACTGGAAAGAACAAGTACCTAATTTTACAAGCATTTTTATGTATTTTCTATAACTAAGCATTTTGAAACTCTTAATTGAGCACAAAATGAGATCTAGTTAATAAGTAAAACATACCAGGAAATGTCATTTTGTCATAACTTTTCTACTTTATAACCTTAAAATAGTTTGAGTAAATCACTGTGAGTAAACATGACCAATCTTTCTTTCTCTGTCTCTGGTGTTCTCTCTCGGTGGCAATAACTTGGTAGGATTTCTGGCTTACTTCTGCACCCCTACTTCAACCAATTTGAGGTAACTGATTATTCAAAATAAGGCATGAAAAAATTCTGTTTTTAAAATTTGAGATTTTTCCTTAGCCAATACTAATGTCATGTGTTGTGTTTTGCAAGCCAAGTTATCAAATGAGTGCCTCTGTGAAAACTTGCATTGTGGCTTTTGGATTTCTTTGCATGTAGTAATTAGTGTGGTTTATTTTAAATGCGATAGCATAGTTGATTTTGGTGTGTAGCATATGGAAAGAAAACAGGCTTCAGACCCAAAAAGTGCTGAGTGTGACTTTCTAAATAACCATCTGCAATTTACTTAACTTCTGTATTTTTTAGTTGCTTCGTGTGTAAAATGGGGATAACATACCTATCTGTGAGAGCATAGTAGAAGCCCAGTAATATCTGTCTCAGTTCAAGGGAAAATTTGAGTTTGTTGCTATTAAGTTAAATTGAGACTAAACAGTATTCTAGCTTTTGAGTTAGGCTTTTTCAATTTAGTTATCTTGAACTAAGACAACAGTGCTATGGAAATAAATATTCTAGTTAAACAGTGATTTTATAAAATAGTAATGGTGAAAGGATGAAAAATGTCAAATGGAATTCCTAAAATGAGTCTTCTCTTTTCAGAATGATCTTTGGCTCAGATAGCCCAATTAATACGATCAAAAAGATAAAAAGTTGATGTTATATACTAGAAGTGATACATTGAGAATTAAGTAGAAACAGTAACTATACAGCACTATTGATTACCAGCACTTTAGTATAGATTGCCTATTATTGGCTTTTGAAGGCTTTTTAAAAGTATAAACAAATACTAAAATATCTATGTACTCAGCTTATTTAAGGACTATTTTCCATTTTAGAAGAAGTACATTTGTGTTTTTCTCACTTAATGAAAACACATTTCTGATTTCCTTATCTACTGAAAAAGATCATCCGGGAGATCCAACATTCAACAAGTAGGAATGCTACCAAGAGACAACAGATACAATTATCAAAGAAATAATACAATAATATTTCTCAGAACCGAAGGACATGAATCTCCATATTGAATGAGCCCAGAAAGTACCCAGCACAATGAATGTAAAAAACAACTAAGCCCGGGCTGTTGTGGCTCAGTGGATTGAGTGTCGGCCTGTGAACCAAAGGGTCACTGGTTCGATTCCCAGTCAGGGCACATGCCTGGGTTGTGGGCCAGGTCCCCAGTTGGGGGCGCGTGAAAGGCAAGCACACATTGATGTTTCTCTCCCTCTCTTTTTCCCTCCCTTCCCCTCTCTTTAAAAATAAACAAATAAAATCTTTTTTAAAAAAAGACTAAGTGGATCTACTCCTAAACAAGGTTATTACCGTATTATGCTGTGTATAATATGCTCTTTTTTGCCCAAATTTTTGAGGGAAAAATAAGGATGTACATTATATGTAGGTAGTACAAATTCCATATCTGTATAAATCTTTTTAATTCTTTTATTTATGCTTATGTGCTAAAAGTGTAACTCTAGAAAGCAGTAACAATATCCATATGTAAAATAATATCCTGGAATACAATAATTGGTTTTGTTACTAAATATAAGTAAATAAATAAATTTAAAAATTAAAATGAAAGATTATTTTCCTGAAAGTTTGGGCTAAAAACATAAGTGTACATTATACACAGTAAAATATTCCAAAACACCAGAGATAAGGAAGGAATTTTTAAAGATTCCAAGTGAAAAAAATGTGTCACATTCAAATGATCTAGAATCAGAAAGATGTCAATTTCTAACTAGTGGCAATGGAAGCTTGAAGATAGAAGACTGGTACTACCCAAGATACCATAATGATTTTCACCCTCAAATTCTGAAACAGTCAAGCTCTCAGTCACATGTCACCTTAAATTTATTTCTGTATTTTATCGTATCACCTTTTATTGTATTTTTGTATTTTAAGCATGCATAGTCACAAAACTGAACCTCTTGTGCATCCTATGTCAGGGGTGGGTATTCTTTGCCAAATTAGGGAATAATCCATGATCAAGGAAAACCCATGGGACCTGGGAAGTTGGGTATCCACCACAGAAGAAAGGTGACAGGAATTCCCAGAATGAGCACTACACTCCAGAGGACAGCCAGCTAGAATTGGATGTGGTGGGCAAAGGTTGCCAGAATCGGTGTCTCTGGGAAAAGTATGGAGATGAGAGTATCTGATAGGTTTAATGCTGTGCAGGAATGATACTTAAGTCATTCAGCACATGCTGTGACCAGTCAGAGGCCACGCTGGCTGTAGGTGGCAGCTGCACCTCTGCCCTGAGCACTGTGGGAAATGTAGTGGAGGCCACGTGAAGAAGGAGAGCATTGGACAACTAAGCAAATGAAATATGAAGAAGGGGTCATTGTAACTCTGGCAAAATTTACAATATAGAAGAAAGGAAATATAATAATAATAAAAGGAACTCAGTTCAGCAATGAATAGCATTTACATCATAATCATGAGGACACATTGTGGATTGCAACTGTGATTTTTCTCTATTGGAAGGATGAAGGAAAAAGAATAGGAGGTAAAAGAGGGTTAAAATCCTCATCTGCCATCTAGGAAAGTAGAGGGTGTTAACTGGTTGCCTACAGGGCAATTGAGAGGAGAATGGGACCAAGGGCTTGTATTTGTTTACACCCCAAAGAAGGTGCTTTCTGAATTTTTCACGTTTAAAAGCATCATTCCTTATGATTCTGCAGTGAAAAACTAAAACTTAAATTTCAACTTGAAAAATTGTTTATAAAATACAGACATTTTAGAACATTGTTTTGGGAAATACAGAAGCATACAGATCCCTTTTTTTTTCTCCTCACTTAAATATAGTTTATAATCCTCCTATTTTGTGAGGCACCCTCCTGTGTTTCATGACCCTTTTGTGGAATGTTTATTGTATTATGACTTAGGCTTACTACTCCCAAACTCTTTATGTAGGGAATCAGAAATCCCCAATATATTATCTTATTCTTATCCTCTCATCATTTATTTTTATTTTGTGCTTTTCTGCCATCAGTATTAGGATCCTATATATTTATTCAACATTCATTTATTTAATACCTACTATATGGTAGGTGCTGGGGATGCAGCAATGAATAAGATGGATGCAGTCTCTGCCCTCACAGGCTAAGTGTCTGTATTCACTCAGTGAAAATTCTATCTCATCATTGGTTCCTAAGAGCCTCCCTTGCCCTTCATTATCAAAATCAGCATTTTGTCACAGAAACACCTTTCTGTAGAAAGGCTATAAAAGCAATCCTATACCTATATTCCTCTGTCTCTTTTTGTGATTGTTTGTTATTATTTATATATTCAACAACTTGAAACCACCTCCTCCCTTCAGAGGCAGGAAACAGAGCATAAAATCATCTAAGTTACACTGCGAAACAAGCACTTGCCCCATAATTGGAATTCATTATGGAATATTTCCTTCTTGCTTGTAATGCCTTTATCCTTTTGTTAGCAAGATCACTGCATGTGAGGTAGCCGTTGCCACTCTCAGTGTGGGCACAGGAAGGTTCACTTCCACTCTTCTGGATTTTATTCATTAGAAATATTTGTTAAATATGCTGAACATAACGTAGTGGTAACACTATTTTCTTCAAGTAGTACTGGACCTATTTTAAAGTAGGTGAAATTAATTTCATCTCTGGAGATATCAAAAAAAGACACTGTGATGGAAGAATCACTGAACCAGACACTTCATACCAAGGAATAAATTGAAACTGAAATAAGAAATAGGTCAAGATTGAGGAAAAACTGCAAGAAAGCCAGTAGTAAGACTTGAGAATTATTTTAAAATTTTATAACATGTAGTTTGTTAAAAATATCTTTTAGACTAAAAATATTGGGACCCTTGGTGTGACCTTTAAATATTGGTAATGCCCCTGACTAGGTTTCCCAGGTTGAACTGCCAGAGCATGTTCAAGAGGAAAACAGGAATTTAATCAGAGGATTTATTGCACCGTAAAGCAATTTTCTGAAAATGTTACTCAGTTCTATGACCTCATTACCAGGCATCTGTTCACAAGGTCAGCGTACAAGTTTATTTTGGCTGAGCGAAGCATAAACATATGAAGGACTTTCAAGGATTTTGCTGAGGATGTTCAACATTCCATAGCTTTTCACGTGAGAAATGCAGGTGGCTTGTGTACAGATGAACAACACTACTGCCAGTCATATTAACCACCTCGTAGGTTTCTCTCTGGCAGCCTTGGGTGAATTCTTCAGCAGATATTATTTTCAAAAAATCAGTTATCACAGAAATTAGAGCCTTACAGGTAAAATTGATGAACTCCAGTTGACTTTAAGTGTTCATGATTAGGTCAAAGATCCTGACATCTTGCTATTTCAGTGGCATTTGATGATATTTATACTTACCAGTACTTGCTATTTGATGATATTTAACTGCTTATTAGTATTTTTTTTAAAAAAGCAATTGTTCAGACAATGGGAAAAAAAGGTCATGCTATTTTCCTATCATCTAGGAATCAGAATGTTATAATGAACATGGAATTCTCTAGCAGACAATTTATCTGCATTTTTTAGCCCTGATTCTGCTGTGAATTAACCATTGGATTTTAGACAAATCTGCACTGATCTTAAATATAAATTTTCTTTCCTATAAAACAAAGGGGTGAAACCTGACTTTTAAAACCCCTTATATCTCTAAGGATGGTTCTCAGTGTGGCTGATTTTGCCTTCCAATGGGCATTTGTAAGTGTCTGGAGACATTTTGGGTTCTCGCAACTGAGGGAGGGGGAGCTGCTTCTGGCACCTGGTGGGTAGAGGCCAGGGATGCTGCTTCATATCCTACAATGCACGGGACAGTTTCCCTAAAACAAAAAATTATCCAGCCCAAAATAGCAATAGTGCTGAAGTTGAGAAACTATGATGCTCTGAAAGTATGATGAATCAGAAAAAGCTAAAAGGATATATGTATAGGTGGTTTTAGTGGTAGATTATGAGTAATTTTTCTTTTGTGTATTTTTGTCTGTACAAATATTCTTTGATAAGTATATATTGTTTCACCTTAAAACCACTAAAATATATTCACTTAATGCAAATACAGTCAATTATATTCTGATCTTGATCAGAGTGTTGAATGTCCACAGGGAAAAGAGATTTCCAAAAAAACTAGGACTAAGCCTTATCTGCAATTATAATGTAATATGTCAAGGATCAACAGAATTAGAGTTTAATGGCTATTTATTATTGAACAGTAAAGTAAGAATTGTTCTGTAAAAGATTGTTTATATGCTTGTAAGCTTATAAAGCTTTACTAATTGTAATTTTAAACTCTTAATTAAAATGTAAAAATAATAAATGTTTTATACAAAGATGCTGAAAAGCACAGTAAATTCCCCTTATTTAACACAAAATATAGTAATTTTAATGTGATGTTTGACCACGAAATGCAGTTGCTTCAACAAAGGCAGAGTTATTTGGGTGTAAAAAGTTAGAATTAGTCATATGCGCAGGGTCCCTTTTTACACGTGCCAGCCACATACCTAGACACTTGAGTAACATTCAGATGTCCTGGTGCCCTTGGTTGTAAATAAGAGCTCTGTATGGAGACAGCTCAGGGGCTTGTTCTCAGCTGAAGTATTGTTCCCAGAGCTTCATAGTGCTCGATCTGGATGCAGCCCTTCCATCCAGCCAACCTCTACGGTGTTCTCAGCTTCTTAAATGGGTGTTCTGGGCCCACCCCAGTTTAGACCCTAAGAACTTTGAGCCACTGAAGGGTTTAGGAACATTTCTGCTAATGACCAGTCTTAATATAAAGTATTCAACAGGATACTTCCTAACTACTTTGCCTTTTACATTCTTATCATAATCTTTCTGTTACTTTCTCTTTGATTTATAGGACTGTTTTTAACATACACAGTGTACATACAGTTCTGCAAAAATAGGATGTAAAATGCTGGGATATAGAATATCCTTATGGATGGTAACTCTCTCCTTATCAACTAAGACTGATGTTTCCACACATATTTTCCTCCTTGACTAGAACCTTTCTTCATTTTTCTTATATTTTTGGCTTAATGTTATATAGAGCAAATAGAAGAAAATAAACAAAGCATTATTACTTTGAACAAAACCTCAATACCTCTTAACATTGTTGTTGACAAATGACTATAATGTCCTATATGTGCCCTCAAAATCGATAAAGTTTTTCTTTTAATTAACAGAGCAAGGAATTAGATGTAGGAAAAATGAGTAGGAAATGAATCAGAAATTTTTATTATGCATCTCATTACAACTAAAATTTCACTATACCAAGTATGACTGATTTTACAATATTAAAGAAATTGTTGAAAAAATTAAAAAATCACCCATCCCATCTGCCTGAACATTACACTGTTCATTTTTGCATATTTTCTCCTGTCTCCTGCATATCTGTAATCATATTATGCATGTGATTTAGAATTCTGAAGTAGAGGAGAAGTATTTCTACTTATTTTATTACAAACATAATTCCTTTATCAATAGACTGTGCTAAAGATATAAAAACTGGAAGGAATAGATCTGCATTTAGCTGTAATGATTTTATAATTAGACCTCTGTTTGAACACTTAAAACTTATATATATTTTTTAAGTTCACAATACTGCATTAATTTTCTTTCCTTATTTGCTCTATTTTGGGCCCATAAGAAAATACACAGCAGAAAGTTTTGATTTTTCAAAGTGATAATGGCCATTGAAGTGTTGGAGATCCTCAAAAGGGGTACTCGGCCTTTTTTGCTTTTCCTAGTCTTTCGTGAAACCTTGAAGAGATTGATAACACTTAGGGCTATACAGTTGGTTACTCAAGAGCTACTTTAAAATCTATGGTGTAAATAGATCAGCCAGATACCTCAGAGTAGGTCCTTGCTTACCTTCATTTTAAATCTGAAGCAAACCTGTGATGGATGGTGTAATCCACCTATGTAGATCACCCATGACCATACCTGTAGTTCGCTACTAAACCTCTCTGCATAAAGAGGCAAGTGTTTACGTTTAAATAAGCTGCTGTCTATGGAGAACTCTAGCAATCAAGAGTAATGAAAAAGTAGGCATAAAAAGAGTAGTTTAATTATTACCTGCTCAATATCAGTTCCATACCAGGTACGTTAGAAGAATAGAATCCTAAGATTTATCCATCTCTAGTTTATTAAAACCTTGTTCCGGAGGAAAAATATACACAGCACAACAACAGAACTAACAGTGAGTTCATTTGTGAGGAATGCCTTAAGTAACGAGTTGATTTTACTCAAACATACCAAAGTTTTTGAATGATACAAAGCTAGACTGATTCAGTGGCACTTTGACTCATTTACATTCTGAGATGTACTATCTTGAGTAAGCGTTTGGGAGTTACAGCCAGACTTGGAAATTGTACCTGAGTCAAGTAGAAGGTATCATCGATGAATGAGTATGCCTTTTATTCTTTGTTTAACAGTACGTAAAAGTCAAGAATTTTTGAGAGAGGGCACAGAAACACAGAGGTGGGATAAAGAAAATGACGGTTCTGAGAAAACAAGGCATTTGTTTCAGACGACCAACTGGTCACTTCCTTTTAGTATGTGTCTGAAATCTTCTGTGAGCCATCTGCTTAGTAAGTAAATGATAGCTGATAAAGAGGAAAAAAGTATAATGAATTAAACCATGTCAAGAATGTTTAAAAATGTGAGGAAGCCAGTTATTTTTATTGAGGATATAGATCCCTTAATAATTCCTTTTCACAATTTAAAAAAAAATACAGTATAACTACAAAGCTTAAGTGGAGTAAGATGTTTGCTTGGTTTCTACATTGTAGATCACTAACTCAGAGTAGCTAGCTGAATGAAGATGTTTTTCTTCAGTGTAAAATGCATGTTAACAGTAATACTCAAATGTTTGTATTGCCATAGACTTTGGAATTTAGAGATAAACATTTATGGACAAGTTTCTACAGTAACTTTATAACTAGAGGTAGTCATAAATTGACATGTGTGAGAAGAAGAAATAAATGTAAAAAAAAAACCATTAAAAGAGTATTTTTAATCCAGCCAGGAATAAGAAATGCATCATCTAAATGCCATGAAAATTTTCAGTGTGTAAATTTGTAATTTTTTTTTCTTCTTTACAAAACTTTATACTTTGAGGGGAAATCTAGGTGTGTTTGAAAGTATCAGAAGTACTCCTTTCAGAGCTGTGCAATGATGTACTCATTGAACATTCTGCAGTGATAGAAATGTCCTAAATCTGCATTATCGAATACAGTAGCCACTAGCCGCATGTGTCTGTTGAGCATGTGAAATGTGGCTAGTGCAATTAAGGAACTAGATTTGTAGTTTATTTATTTTTAGATAATTTAAATGTAAATACCCACATGTGTTTAGTGTCCACCATATTGTTAAGATGACTTAAAGTCAAATTGTATAGTAGTAGATATGCCTTGCCAGATAATGCATTTGTTAACTGATTGTCATTTTGTATCCAAGATTGTTAGGCTTTAAAATTTATTTTTCACTCTGTTCTAGGTAAGCGATGTTACCACTTCTGGCTTCGTTTAGCTTAAAACTGTATCTCTCTTACTTTAAAATGTTTTTCTAAATCGTAATCTTAACTCCCAAGTGCTAGCTTTAAGATAGATAAAAATTATGGGTGCTATTTACTCCTGAGGGTAAGCTTGTCATACATTTTTTTACACTTTAAATATAAACCTGAAATGTTTGGGGTTGGAATGTACTGATGTTTACAATTCACTTTGAAATGCATTAAAAATTGTTTGATGATGGATACGTGGTAGATATGTGATAAAGAAAATAAAGCAAAATGTAAAAAGTGTACTTTTTTTCCTTGGATTTCTCACCTCTCTGTTAAATAGAGCCAAGGGGTAATAACGGAGCGATTACGGAGTTTGAGTATGCACGATCTAACAGCTATCCCAGGGGATGAGCACGTGGGACAAAGACCATACCAGCCTCTACCAGAAACAAAAAAGAAAAGCAAGCCAGCCTCCAGTGAATCAGCAGGTGTGCTCCTTTAACATTTCATTCTTTCATAATTGGGATTTTGAGTCAAGATGTGTAGTAAAAAAATTCTTGGCAACTCTGAATTTGGGCAGACAAAATTTAAGCTTATATTTTTGAGTTTTACACTTAACTATAGTTAGTGCATGCCTTTTGTTGACTTTGGAGATAATCCAACTAAGAAAGTAGCAGTCGTCTTTTATACTGCCATATATTTTTAGAAGCCATGGGTGTGGTTACCACCACTAGTACTAGTTCTGACCTGTGGTCAGTACTCTTTCTCCTTAAACTATAATGAACTTACAGAGTTTCATAATTAAACATTCTTTAATGCAAGTGCTGTGAACAAATAAGGATATTGACTCAAGAGATAAAAAGTTTTAAGTAGGTGACAAAAGATGACTCAATTTTAAAATAGGATTATTCCAATGGAAATTGTGTTGCAATTACATGTATTTCTAGTTCAAGAACTAACTTGTAGGCATATTCTAATGTAAATTATGAGCATGTCATAGTTGATATATTCTAAACTTTAATCTTTAAAAATGTTATCTTATACATAAATAAAAAAGACATACTTCTTTAGTTATTTTGTCACATATAAGAAAGTTTTAGCTCAAGGCTTAGCTAAGAACTAAGATATTCGGGACGTGTGTTATTAATGTATTAAGTCCATAAGGTACAGGGCTAATTCATCTTGTTTTTTGCTGGGTTTATTTTTTCAGGTAGATTTCTTTTGAGGAAGATTAAAAATCATCCTTTATAATTAAAACCAATTTGAAAAATAAAATACTAGTCTCTTCTTATAGAGGAAAAACAGTGGCCCTTCTTCTAAGTTCTCCTTAGAATAAATAACTTTACCAAGTTGGTAGATAATATCTCAGAGGTAGTAATTATAGCATTGACCATTGATTAGGGTAGTAATATCCTTAAGGGTGAGGAACCATTGAACTTTGAACCATCATTCTTAATACATAAATAATGTAAAAGTAGTTTCTACTATATGCATTTTCTTAACATGCACCTAAAAATCAGGTATACTGATTTTGTTTATAGGGTCTGCTGTATTATTTAACTGATTTGGACTAGTTATTTGACTCCTTTATCAGTAATTTATTCATAATTATACCTTAGAATTGGTTAATAATTATATTCCAATTAAAGTAAGATTTTATATAGGAAGACCCCTGACATTATTTTTATGATATTCATCTATTAAATTTAAAATGGTGTGACTAAAAATATTTTAAGATAATAACGTGCTATGTAGTTCTTTTGTTTAGTTCAAACCATGAAATGGAAATAAACAAAGACATAAAATACAAAGTGGTACGGTACAAAAAGGGTATTTGTTCAGTTATGAAATTAAAATTTTAATATGCATTACTTTGCCCAGTTTCCTACAGAATAGTATATATTTGAGCTTTCTTTCCTTAAGAAAAAATTAAACCAAAACTTTTTCTATTGACGATATTTTTAGTAAAGTAGGTCCCAGGAGAGGAATAGGTGAAGAGAAGATAATAATAGATAATCTAGAGAGACATGAGACCAGATATACATGGAAATTTATCAAATGAGGAAGGTGACCTCTCAGATTGGTAGTAGAAAGGCAGATTTAAAAAATGGCGTTAAGCCCTGGCCAGTGTGGCTCAGCTGGTTGGAGCATGGTCCTCTAAAATGAAAGGTCACAGGTTTGATTCCAGGCCAGGGCACATACCCTGGGTGTTGGTTCAATCCCTGATCTGGGCACATGGGAGAGGGCAACCAGTTGATGTTTCTCTCTCATGTCAACTTCTCTCGAGCACGCGTTCTCTCCCCCCACCACCTCTCCCTCTCTCTCTCCTCCTCCCACCCTCTCTAAGAAAAAATACCAATGACAAAATGCCCTCTGGTGAGGATGAAAGAAAAAAAGTGGCGTTAGGATAACTGCTAGGCTTAGAAGGTTGATGTTTCTCTCTCACATCAATGTTTCTCTCTCTCTCTCTCTCTTTCCCCCCTTTCTGCTCTCTCCCTCCCTTCCTCCCTCTCTTTCTAAAAGCAATGAAAAAATGTCTTCAGGTGAGGATTAAAAAAATAATAAAAAAACATAAAACTACCAAATAGGGGGAAAAGCTCCACATGATAAAAACAACTCTAAGAAACATTTTTGTTTCATGTTACAGGCAAAGGATTCAGACTATAACAATCTAAGAACCCTTACAAGCCAATTATCATCAATTTTATCAAAGAATACAGCTGACCAATCAATACATGAAAAAGATATTTAGCCTTACAGGTAGTCAAAGAAATAGTAAACTAAAATCATAATAATAGTAATTTTTGTTCACCAGATTGGCAAAAAAATTTTAATTAATAGTGCTTTGCATTGTAACTATCCTAGTTGTCTGTTGCTGCAAAATAAATCAGCTCCAAACAGTAATTTTTTTAAAATCATGATCAGTAGTTTTGTTAAGGAATCTGGAAGTGATTGGGTTCAGCAAGGCAGTTTTTGTCCAGGGTCTTATGCATCTACATCCAAACAGCAGCTGGAGCTGGAGTCATAATCTAAAAGGCTTCTTCACTTACATGTCTGCTGTTTGAGCTGGAGAGAGTCAAACAGCTGCTGGCTAACAATTAAGCCTTCCCCAGCATTTCCCTGTCTGTGCGTGGTCTCTGAGGATCATTGGACTTCTTACCGGCAGCCGAAGGCTCCCAGATCCAGTGAATGTCCCAAGAGAGAAGTGTCAGAATTTGTGGACATGTTTTAAAACCACCACAGCAAGCATTGTTGGAAAACAAACATTCTCATATACTTCTTCTAAGAGTTTAAAGTGGAATAATCCTTTTGGATGACAATCTGGCAATAATTATTACAATTTACTCTCTTTAACTCAGCAAGAAACTTCTAGAAATATGCCATAAGGAAATAATCAGACAAGGGTTCAAAGATATATGTATAAGAATGTTTATCTCATTGTTTACAGTAACAAAACATTGGAACAAACCAATTATGTAAGGAAATGGTTGAGCAAAAAGGTGGTTTTTAGCCATGAAAAATAATAGTTAATCTATACTTACTGACATGAAAACAACCAGATTGTGGGAGAATATACAATAACAATGAAACAGCATGTGTTATAATCCTATACTATAGAGACATAATAGATAGATTACATTATCTAGTAGATAGAATACATTAATATATGTAAAAGTTATTTTTCAAATGTATCTACATAGTGGAGGGTCTAGAAGGACATTACTATAACATTAACAGTATTTAGATCTGAGTGGTAGATTTTTAATGATATTTTTAATTCAACCTATTACTCAAAATTAGAAATAAAACAATAGCATTCTCCCTTTGGAAAAATAATTAAGTACTCATTTTTTTAATCATGATTATTTTTCTATTTCATTTACTCCCAAAACTTCTCAAGAAAAAAATATTGATTAGTTTTTAAGTGTGGGAATTGCATTTACATTGCAAAGTCTGTTTACTGGTTCGTATAATCAATACACATATCTCAGAAGCTCTGATCGTTCACACATCAAACTCAAATATCAAGAAAAGTGGATCCCTTTTGAAAGCTCTTCATGACCTGCTCCAAGCAGTTCGAGGTTACCATATCAATAGGAGCCCTTCTGTTTTGATGAAATTATTTAAATTTGCATGTTGTCATTACAGGGAAAAAAGAGCTCCCTGCAAATGCTTTCTTTGAAGGAAATGGACGCTTTGAACATGATGTTCACGTGCCTTGAATGAACATCACATTTTGATAAGTGGAAGTATGTTTTCTGCAGAGAACCTGCTGCTCCCGTATTAGTTACAAGTGGTTCAATATGGTTTCAATACCAGCACATAAAGAGATTTTTTGTTTGTTTTAGGTACTTTACATATTTACTTAATCCTTAAGATGACTTTGCAGGTTCACTATTTTATCTTTACTTTGTAAATGAATAAACTGAGACTTGAGGAGATTAAATTACTTATTAAAGGCTATACATACTCAGTGACGGAAATGAGGTACTTAAGGCTCCTAAAAGAGTAATTTTTACTCTTTTAATTTATAAAGAGGCTACACTTAGTGAGACAGTTGGGCTGGAACCATGAATACAAATAATTGGAGCAGGAAGGGACCTCAGCGATGCTTTAGTCAAAGACGGCAAGTAGGTGACATGCCTCCTCCCGGCGCCCGTGCTCACGGCGCAGGCGCTGCTGACGGACTGTGGCGTCTCCCACACTGGCCCAGACTCCCACTTCACACAGGGGCCCAGACAGCTGGCTCAGGGTTGGCATTGACACAGCCACCGATGCATCATCTCCTCTATCCCACCACCTTACCAGGTAGGAAAACAGACCTAGAGAAAGGCACGACTCACTCTGGGCTTCACAACTAATAGATGACAAAGTACTCATTCCTCCTCACTTGGGTCAGGACTCCTTCCTCCACAGTAGCTAACGCTCTCCCCAAGTCAAACTTTCAGTGATTCTGCATTTACATTAATACGTGCAAACACAAGTGCCTGGTACATGCTAAATGTTGGATCAATATTGGCTATTATCATAATAAGGAGAGAAGACTTAAAATATGCCAACCCTAAGATGTACAAACGGAATCAAATCAGGTCACTTTGCAAAAAAATCTGCTAGTTTTCTAAAATGGTTACCGAGCTGTGGGCTGAAGCTAGACAAACCGCGGCAGCCTTGGCCCAGGCCCCGGCAGCACAGGCTCCTCATTCTTTGGTCCCCTGCCACTGCTCCTCAGGAATATGCTCTGGAAGACACCATGCTGAGTGCTCTCTCCAGTCTAGATCGATGATGTAAAGCAGCCGACCTTCCCAACGCCTTTGTGTGGTGCCGGCAGTATCCCACTAGCTTTACCTTGCCCGGGCCCGGCAGAACCATAAACCATTTAGCCAGCTACCTCCCTGAGTTCCCGCTTGATTTGGCACCCAGATTTGGGTTTCTCTCCTAATCTCAGGTTTCCCTCTTCTCCATAGACTTTTAAATACTCGCATAACATTGATCAACATTATTTCCAGCACTCACAGCAAAATTTTCATACATACTCATTTCCAGGTATTAAGGGGAATAGAAAATGTGTATTTTAATGAGGATATTTGGCTTGACTCCTCTCTTTTGGATGCAGGGATTGGTTTACTAGTTGCTAAATTAAACTTAGTCATTCCAGCCCCCAAATTTGGCTACCTTCTCTGTCCTCACCCCTTGGACTTTGTCATCTCTGACCTCCCATACTGCAGTAACTTCACTCTTTCAGATTCATCCACCTCTGACTTATTCTCCCTGAAGTGTAAGAAGAATCTTCTAAAGAACCCAAATCTAATCATGTCACCCTTCTTTTTAACATGCTTCAGTGGCTCCCCATTGCTGTCTGAGGAAATCAAAACTCAATAACATGTGGTGTATTAGCTCCCTGGACTTGTTCCCACTCCAGCATGTGCTCGCCATATAGAATCATAAGCCTTACAGGATTTGGCTTAGTAACCACCTCCGACAAGAAGTCTTCTTTCACTACCAACTCCCCCACCCCAGACTAAGTTAATTCTCTTACTGTATGCTCCCATAGCACTTTGTTTTTGTCTTCTACCGGTGGCATCTCTTACAGCAGGGGTCCCCAACCCGCAGGGGCAAAGACTGGTATGTCAGTGGCCTGTTAGGAACCCCACCGCACAGCAGGAGGGAAGCAGCGGGCAGGAGAGCCGAGCTTCACTGGCATTACCGCCTGAGCTCCGCCTTTTGTCCCTCCACCGCCCGCCCACCCACCACCCCACCGTGGAGAAATTGTTTTCCATGAAACCTGTCCCTGGTGCCAAAAAAGGTTGGGGACTGCTGTCTTATAGGACTGTAAGGCCCAGTAGAGTCCATTTCCCCCATTGGCCCATGGAACTATAAGTTTCTTAGGGTAGAAAACGACAGTTGTGTTTTTCTCATCATTTTATCTCTGTGATTTAACACACTGCCTCACACATAGTAGAATTTTTAAAAATATCTGTAGAGGGAAGAATGACGTCATCACTTTCACTGAAACTATAATTAGAAAGCTAATAAGGTTTTTTGAACTGACATTAGGAAACAAAGAATAAGATTTATATATAATCATTTTATGATTGAAATTCCAATTCTAATCATATAAAACAAGAGGCAATTAAAATAGCAAGGGCCATGTTTTTTGAACTGTATAGTCTTATGCTTCATTTGTGGATTTATAGAACTTTCTGGTCATAGATGCTTCTGTTCTGACTCTCTTAATTCCTCATTCTCTGTTTTCTCTTAGGTTTTTGAGATTAGGATTGAGAATATTATGTAGGCAGTAACAATAGAGAAAAATCTAGAAATGATAACCTAAAAAGATTTGTTCTAGTTTATTGTCCCCAATTGTAGAAGTAATATAATTTTTTAATTTTTTATTTGTTTTAGAGAGAGAGAGAAACATAATTTGTTATTCCACTTACTTATACATTCATTGGTTGCTTCTTGTATGTGCCCTGACCAGAGATCAAAACAGCAATGTTGGTGTATCGGGGTGACACTGTAACCACCTGAGCTACTTGGCCAGGGCAGGCAGAAGTAATACAATTTTTAAAATAAATATTTGGCAAATTTTTTTAAAGGATAAATGAACGTAAAATCACCCAAAAGCCCACTTCCAAGAGATGCCATGGTTTCGCTTTTATGTTTTTTCTTCATTTGTTTCTACACGTACATTTTTTCCCCACTTAATATTGCACCACAAGTGTTTCTCTATCCGTTCCCCAGGCAACAGGCCTCCTCACGGTTCTTCCAAGCGGTCATGCTTCCCCTGCCCTACCGCCTTTGCACATGCTGTCTCTTCTCCCTGGAACACACTCACTTGGACTGCAGGAAAACAAAGGAACTCGGCCTCAATAACGACTGATTCTACTCTTGAATCCTTCCTAATCTCTAGCCTACAAGTCTGGCAGCATAAAATTGTACTAGCTTAATATAGAAAGATGTTTATCTTATTATGTGCTTGCTTATTATACAAAGATGTTTATCTTATTATGAGACTGAGAAGCTTATTAAAATCCTTTGTGGTTTGCTTAGTGAGTCTTAAGTTACACATGTCCTGGGAGAGCAGATTAATGAACATTTATTTAGTATATTTTTCTTCATATGCAAGAAATCCATTTTTTGTCCCATTCTGATCCTGGAAAATCTGCTACTTTTTTCTCCCCTTAAGATTCAGGAATTTTGTTCCTTTTTAATAGAGTTTGAAATTTCATGGGAACTTGTAACCTCACCTCTGTCTTTATAACCTGCCTAGTTCCCCTAGGAACCTAGTTCTGGTTCCCTTAGACTTGGGTCCCTCTTTTGCCCCTTCCAGGCGGTGGGTCTCAAGGTGTAAGCCCTAAGCCAATAGCATAAGCATCAACTGGGAATTTGTTAAAAACAAGTTAGATTCTCAGTTCACCTCCGGCCCAGCAATCTGTATTAACTAACAAGTTCCCCAGGTGACTAATAATCGGCTAAAATTTGAGAACATCTGCTTCAGGAATAGGAACGTTCTGGTCCCTGAATCCCAATGTCAGGATACCCTCAGACTTCCTGACAGTAATTAGCCTGACTGCCTGGAAGTTTGCATATTTGCTAATGTTAAGTCTTTGTAGCTACACTGAGCAGCCTATTTGCACACAAGCACAATCTCTTACTGCCTTTTCTGGTGCTGCCTCTTTTCTTTGACTAACATCTGTCACCATAGCCTGTGGTGTTTTTAATTACTCTAGCCTGTCTGTCTGTGCTTTATGTCAGCAGCTGCAGCAGTGTTGGTTTAACATCAGTATCACTTGCCCCCAGTGAACCTAACTTGCCCAAAATTCTAGCTCTTTTGGGTCTTATATGACTCCGTAAGTTCACCCTGCCATTCCCAATATTGACAACAGTTTTGACACATGATGTGGGGAAAACCCTAATTCCTAATTAAAGTCAAAGGTACAAACAACAGACTAAAACAGAGAATTGCTTAGGTTATTTAGAATTCAGGAAAAGGAAAAAACGCAGAAAGAGATTTTTCACTATGTATCTCTTTTTATTCTTTGACTTTTGAACAAGATCAATGTTACCTACACTAAAATAATTATTTTTATTCTGAAAAATGCATAGTAAAAAAGAATGATCAGGGAAAACTTCCTGAAAGAAATGAGTTGTGAGCTTCATTTAGAATAGTGCGAAGGGCAAAGATTAATGATGAAGGGTAGGGAGTGCATTACAGATGAGAAAGGGAGAGGAGTAACCGAGTAAATGCAGACCATGCAGAGATCTGCAGAGTTAAGAGGCGGCACTGACTGGTATCTTTTAACCAAAACATGCTGGTTTTGACAACTCATTTAGATTATGGAATTTCACTGAAAGACGGAGATGAGAAAACAGATGAAGAAGCGAGTGGGCCATATTCAGATGATGAGATGTTAACACACAAAGCGCTTCGAAGATCACAAAGCATGAAATCTGTGAAAACCGTGAAAGGCCGCAAAGAGGTTAGTCAATTAGAGAGCTGTTTTCTTAATGATTAATATTAAAGGATTTCCCTGCTGCAATATCATTCAGGATATTAGTGACCCATAAATAAAGGTTTGGAATGGTAGACCTACAGTTATATTTAAAATTCTTTATTCAGATCAGATATATTAGCATCTCTGAAAATTTTCAAAATGGTAAATTCCTAGTCTTCCACTATACATAGGTAAATGGTATTCTTGCATAGCAAATGATATGGCTGTCATGAATACCCAGTGCCAGCCCTACTCATAAGCAAAGAAAGCAAAAAAATTAGCTACCTAGTTTTGCTTTGAACCAACTCTACATGAGGATTAAATAGTAAAAATTTATCTATAATTAATTATATGTTGTCTTTGTGCTCAGAAAGCAGTGGAGGATTCCAGCAAATGGCCTCAGATTAATTACTATGAGCAGTGTACCAAGCAAAGCATAAGTAATAACAGTTAGTATTTCTGTTATTAGGGATAATAATCTGTAACATATATCCAACATGGAACCATCTATATTTTTTAGTATATAAATGGTGTTGTCTTTTGAGTACACATTTATAGGATATATTCTTTTTATCAGAAAAGTTAAAAATTATTGCTGTGATTATGAACTATTAAATCTTATATAATTTCAAAAAGTAATAATATAATTTGTAATAATAACACATTTCTCTCTTCAGGTGCGGTATGGGTCACTAAAATATAAAGTGAAGAAGAGACCACAGGTGTATTTTTAGTATATACACTTCAAGTGTCCCTAGACAAATTATGCTAATACATCAATTTTTTTTCTAACATTATATATTCAGGATTTACACATTAAAATAATTCTTTAAGTTGTGGTGGTGATAGGGTTTATTTTCCTTAATTTAAATACTTTTTTTATTTCTTTAACAATTACTTTCAAATGTTGACTACTAAAGGTAGTTATGCAAAATATATATATCAGAAATAATAGAAAATTGTGTTACCTGTTTTTAAATTCATCAGAAACATGGAATGCCTGGGATATAAGAGGAAGCACATACCCACAGTATACTTGAAAAGAGTCTTTTTATGGTTCAAGATACATCAGTCTTTGTGTTATTGTATTGTTTACTGCCATTTATGTTATAGCTATCACATGGAGATAGTAATTAAATAGGCCTCTAATCCAGCAGTGATAGCACAGGGCATAATGTGAGATAAAGTATGTTTTATACTTTAAATTTTTACTTTTTTAATACTTTGTAGTGTTTCCACCATCAGCTGAAAGTTTTCAAAACAGATGTTTGAAAACCAGGTATCCACATAGCACTTTTATTCCTGACTAGTTTTGCACACTTGAAAATTGTTTACTTATTTTATGACTGTACGTTTTAAGTTTTACTGACACTATCTTTATTATTTGTCATACTCTGACAAGTCAAATTTATGCCTTGAATTACATCATCTCTTTTCCTGTGGGTTCCATTTGTTAAATTTGCTTGATTTTGATAGTATAAAAATACAGCTAATTATTCAGTTTTAATTATCTTCTTTACAGATAAGAAATTATTTAAGTCATTAACCAGTTTTCTATATTTGTCTATATATTGTAGTTGAACTCAGCATCTTTTTATTAACATTGGTTACATTCTCAGATTTTAAAAGTGGTAGCTTTTGTGAAATAGAGTCAGAGACCAGTATAGCACTTAGGTCTTCTCTAATTCATGAGAATATCTAACAGCCAATCTATTCACTAGCTTGGCACTTATATGTGCTGCTGATTTATAAACCTGGCATTAACTAGAATAACTTGGATCATTTCTTTTCTGGCTGAAATAATTTCCTGAAGATAGTTGCCAATGGAAAATGAGGATGTTGTTAATAACACATATTAGTAGCTACTAGAATAGATATTAGAAAAATATCATTTTTTTAATCCAAGATATTTTTGAGTTACTAGATTGTGAGACATTTTTAGGGTGCATTGTTAGCTACACATTATGACCTTTAAGTCAACATATTTGGTGATGGTTTTAGTGACAGTAATAAAATTTGTACATTTAAACTTATTTAGGTAATCTACTTGATAAATATACTTGTTTGTTCAAAAGTAAAACAATGAGAAAGATTTGTAAGATCTTTGACTTTTCTACCTTTTAAGAAACGAAACCAGCCTGACGGTGTATATTCAGGACTGCCTCAGAGTGTTGGCAGGCAACAAAATGTTTACTCAGGAGTACCTTCGTGTAATTCAGACCTTTCTCTGACACAGTCTTAAAATATTTTCTATATTATCTCACATTCTTGATATGTAACACCAAGTAAAAATTCATTCAATTTCTTTTTTCTCAGTTTATTTCTATGAGTACTTTCATCTACTTTACTAATTTTTAGCCTCTTAGTTTCTGGAAAGACTCTTGAATTTGTGTTCAGAACTCCTATGAATTCTGATTATAAACTTTGGAAGAATTTTATTTATATTGCATAGTGCTAGACTTATCAGTATAAATGCTATGCCATCTTTGTCTTTCCTGCATAAAGGCAGTGTCATCTCAAATTGCCTGGCAAGGTCATTTAAAATGACTTTGTATCAAAAACATTACCTATGGGGGCTGATTTGCACCATTATATCATTTTCAAGTCTAATTTCATTATTATATCTATTCTTTAATCATAATAAATTCATACTTTTCTAAATTGGAAGAATTATGAATCCCTCTACACGTCTAGAATCAAAACATTTAATCAAAGACAACACCAGTTTCAAAGAGGTAATGCAAGTCCTTCTGTTTAATTAATCTCTTCATACTTACAATGCTTCCGCTGATATATTTCTGCTGCTTACATCCTTATATACAGTGATGTCATTTTGCTGTTCTGTCATTGCCTTTCATGCCTTTTCTTACAATTCTTAAATTTTGCTTCTTTTATGTGTTTTTGTTTTAGCATGCCTTTTCCTTTGAACTTTGTATAAGCTTATACAGTTTAGTTTCTTTTAAGGTAGAGCAGGTCATTTTTTGTTTCTCTGCTTTTAAGTGTACTTCTTTTAGAAGAGGTAATTTTATCCCTAGACCACAGTGCCTTGCTTTTCCTACCACCACCAGCTGGTGAATGGGCATCAGATGCTGTACAAGCCTATTTGGGGCACTATTTTGGTAGCTGTTAAAGTTTATCCAGAAATTGTAGCCATTTTATCATATATGCATTCAACTTGTTCAATAATATTAACTATTTCCAGAGTTCATTTGTAAGTAAGAATTGATCTATTAATTTATCATACTTTTTTCTGGTATAAAAAATGAGCCAGAGATAAGCCTGATTGCTAAGTAATTAATTATGTAAAACCACCTAAGTCCTGCATAAGATTTCCTCCACACACTTCACTATATATGTGTGGATTTGGCTAGAAAATGATACTGCCAGCATTACTAATTATAATACTTGACTACACAGATTGATGGAACAAAATTGTTAAAGTGTTTTCAGGGAACTTACTCCATATGCCACCACCAAAGATTTCTACAGTGTTATAAAGTATGTAAATATTCCAAATTTCTGTAAGACATTGATTAGACAAATATATTGCCTTTTTTTTTAATAACACAGTTTATGCTTCTGGGATGCTTGAACTTTTGTGTTGTTAAAAATAATTCAGTACTATCTTATCTTAATAATAATTTGTATTTTTAATTGGAATGGACTAAATTTTTATTTTAATATTATCAGGAAAATTAAGGAGTTAATGTCTATTGGAAAGCAATTTCCTGTTTTCTTCTATGTGGTCCAATTGATTTGCAAGGCTAATAGATAAATTTTGAGATCATTGTTAGTGTGGTATGCAGTGTACATTTCTTAGTAAACATCATTGCAGAATAAAGTTTTCTAAAAGGAAAATACAGCTTTTCTCTCTAAATGTTTTTAATATATAATCTCCTAAGGCATCCTACAGATTTAATGTGTATTAATTCTTCAAACATTGACCGTGAATTAACTTTTTTTTCCTAAAAACCATTTGAAATCTATGTACTTTAATAGTTAAGAGAAAGCAGTTTTGCAAACTCTTTGTAAGGCCATCATTAGGCCTAGTATAGGGGTAACTTTACAAATGTGTTTTTTGAAAGCTTTAATGTAAAATAAACTTGTTTTATTAGTGACAACTTGTCTTTTTTTCTTGTGTTAAAGTGTGTATGTTGGGTTCCATGAAATGATAATCATTTATTATTAAGTCTGTTTTGATTAAATAATAGACAACATATGCACACACTTAAGACTACAAATGACAGAGAAAATTATAAAAAATCATATACATTCTGGAATTCTTATCCATAGGATTAAAAGAAACACTGAATTGTTAAATTTAGATGTTGAAAAGGGAAGATAGGAAAAAACAATTAGTAGAGAAACCCTAGCCATCAATTTGTATTGGTAAGATGTCTCAAACATAAAATATAACACAAAATTCAGTTTTATTTATCCTGGGAAATGTTCTGGAGTTCCATCTGCTGTAAAATCATACGTCTGTTTGCTTCACATCACATTTAAGCTTTAGAAAAATCCTACTTTAAAAAGTTTCTTGTATTACTTCATTATGACATACAATGTGTGATAAAGTATTTCCAAATGGAGTTATACTTTCATTTTTATTAGGAGGCATATCCTTTTAATGATCCGAAGTTAGAAATATAAATAAAAATTCTGAAGAACACATGGATATATGAAATTCAGGATTTTTTTTCAGTGTTTTATTTTCCCCTTAAGTGGTTCACTGTTCCTGAGAAAGAGATTCATGGAACAAAAATCATGTCAGAGACTGATTTATTGTTCCCTGGAAAACATCTACTGATCAATAGTCTAGCCTTGAAACACTCTGCTTATGATCTGGTTCTGGTAATGTTGTTTTAAATTGCTTTTTATAAGATAATGCTTTGAACTGAAATTTTAAAGCATAAGATTGATAATTGTGTATAAGTCTAGACTACTAAAAGACTGCTCAACAAAAGCAGGGAAATCACCATGTTTACCCTTTGTGTGCCTGGCAATCCCAGATTAGGGGCAAGAGGAAGGAGAAAGAAAAAGGAAAGTATGGTATTTTGGCATGATGTGCAAGTCAAATTAGCATCAATTTGTTTTCATTCAAAAATATTCCTTGAGCGCCTACTGTGTACAGTAGCACTGGTATGTTTCTGCATAATGCCTATATCCAAGTAGGATAACATAACAGTTTAAGGAAAATAATTCTTGCTTTAATGAAAACAAATTTACTATTACCAAATCTTTGGATTATTTTATTATTATTAATGCTGGGATTTCTTCTCGGTGGTTGAATAATTTATTTGGTTTTTCTTAGAGCAGTATTTTTTTTTCTTTTAATCCTTGGAACCCTTTCCCTTACCTCTTACTTCAAATATATTATTAGTAAGTTCTTTTGGCTCTCTCCAAAATACATCCTGACTTTGACCATTAAATTCTCCTCTCCTCCAACTTCCCCTAAATTAAATCATCATCATCTCTCATCTGGAGTACTCAGGGCATAACTTTTACTTAAGTCAGAATTCCTTGAAACCTGACTACATTTTTTGTAGCCTTGCAAATTTTTCAAGGTTAACTTTTGACCTTGAGACCCATAGAACTGTCACAGTTTTTTATCTTTTCATCTGGTGTCTTTGAGAAACACAGAATTTGTGAAGAAGGAAGGAAGGTGAAAACAGGAGCAGGTAGTTTTGTATATGATTCTTTGTTTTTTTTAATTGTTGTTCAAGTACAGGTCTCCATTTTCCTCAGTTCACTCCCCCCCAGCCCCACCCATCCCCACCTCCCACCCTTGAACCTACCCGCTTTGGCCTTGTCCATGTGTCCTTGATACATGTTCCTTGATGATCCGTCCCCTCTTTTCCCCCATTAACCCTCTTCCCCCTCCCCTCTGGTTACTGTCAGTTTGTTCTTTATTTCAATGTTTCTGTATTTTGCTTGCTTATTTGTTTTGTTGATTAGGTTCCACTTATAGGTGAGATCATATGGTATTTGTCTTTCACTACCTGGCTTATTTTGCTTAGCATAATGCTTTCCAGTTCCATCCAGGCTGTCGCGAAGGGTAGTAGTTCTTTCTGCTGCATGATATTCCATTGTGTAAAGGTACACAGGTTTTTTATCCACTCATTCACTGGTGGGCACTTAGGTTGCTTCCAGCACTTTGCTATTGTAAATTGTACTATTATGAAATTGGGATGCATAGGGTCTTTAAATTGATGTTTAAGGATTCTTAGGGTATATTCCTGGCAGTGGAATTGCTGGGTCAAAAAGCAGTTCCATTTTTAGTTTTCTGAGGAAATTCTATACTGCTAGAATATAGCATATTCATAGTGGCTGCACCAGTCTGCATTCCTACCAATAGTGCACTAGAGTTCCTTTTTATCCACAACCTCGCCAGCACCTGTTTTTTGTTGATTTGTTTATGATGGTCATTCTGACCAGTTTGAAGTGATATCTCATTGTAGTTTCAATTTGCATCTCTCTGATGGCTAGT